GGCCGGGTGGTGGACTTGTGTTCTCATGAACACAACGGGCGGCCTGGTCGTGATGGTACTCCAATGTTTTCACGGGCAGCCAGCAGTGCTTGGCTATCGGGGATCCAGACTGTGCCCGTCGCAAACCAAGTCCTGGCCTGAAGCAACGTGGTGCTATCAGTACAAGACAGTCCAAGTACTTGTTGTAGTAGTTGAAGTGGTAGAGCTCGTGGTGATGGTGACAGGCCATTGCTAAATCATTACAAACGTTTCTGAACAAGTGAATAGCAAGAGCCCCTTCATCTTTGAAATTCACATGGCTTGTCCATGGCCCAGGAACGCCAAGATGCCTCAGAAGCCGCCGAACCTTCCAGCGAAGATCGAGATTGCGAATTTCTGATGCTGGAGACGTTGCCACTTAGGGGCTTCACACAATCCGCGGTGTCCGAAAGAATTGGCGGCTCTGATCCCTCTTGCGTCGTGCTCAGACAAATAGCCGGCAGAGGTAGCAAAGCCTGAATGGCGCTTGGTCTATCCCTTGCAGACAAGATTGAACACCGACTCGATTTTCACAGCAGGCTGAAGCCCCATGGGCTTGGCATGACCTGTTCATCATCTTTGTTTTCAATGCATGCTGCCGACCACTGTCCCGTCAGCGTCTAAGCAGAAAACTTCATGAGTGGCTCTTCGGGAGCAGATCAGAACACACGAAACAACGGGTGTCGCGAAGGTCTGAAGCGGCAAGGCCATTTCATCCACGTTCCGTCCATCCGTCCGTTCCGTCCACCCGCCCATCCATCCGCCCATCCATCCCTCCACGCATGCACGCAGGCAGCTGCCCTTATACAACCCTTCGATAAACGTTTTAATACACCTTTATCAAACAGTGCACGTTTGATTTCTAACTCAAACCGTCTAGTGACTAGACTCTAGTCTACCCACCCTCGACCAACATGCTTCCCCATGTACTGACGGCATTCGGCCATTCCCCCCCTTAAGTCTCGTACTGGCGGAAATGCTTCCCCAAGCGCTTGCAAGAGTGTTTCAGCTAAATGCGGCACCACGCGTGGAGCGTGCAGACACGCCGGGTCCACCGAGAGGTTTATCATTTCCAAGCCTATGTATCGGAATTTTCATTGGATGGCGCTTGACAAGGCGGTGGACACGGCACGCCCACTGACAGAGATGTCAATTCCGAGTACGAATCGTTGTGGCAGCACACATGTGGCGCCATTTCGAAGCAAGAGGGTTGTGATTTCGAGGAGAACACGAGGCCTATGTGTTGGAATTTACGTTGGATCACGCTTTGCGGTGATGCTCGCACACTGAGTCTACCATGAGGGTTGTCATTTCCGAACACGAATCGCCACGGCACCGGACACATTTTACGAGGTACGTTGAGTTCTGCTTGAGACGGCCGCGCAAAACTTAAGAGACAACCTCTCGAGAACCTCACCTCGCGAAATTGACTGAAGTCCAGAGAAGCAGCGTCACGAAAACTTCACCTCCTGCCATCCAAACCACCAAGGAGAATCCTTCGCAAGGGTTTCGGGAAGGGGGGCCACCAATCGCTAGTATGAGCAGGCAGGGAAGTGGGCGTCTATCTTGCAGCACCGGGCAGATGCACACAGCACGAGATGTTGCATCGAAGGATGCCGAAGTGCAGTTTCACCAAGAAGCCGGAGACCTTGATACATCAGTGATCAGCCGACTTGACCGTTGACTGTGGATGAGGAGTTACGCCCCTTATGAGTACGATGATCATGCTGGGGCTTCTCGATTTAACAATGTTTTCCAGCCAGCCCGGAAGCGCAGAACCAGGGATGAGGGAGGATAGGCACCCGCATCGAGTGACAGTCTTGAACTCTGTCGGATGTGGGAGGCCAGCTCCCTGGTCCCAGAGTCGCAGAAGATGTTTCTTAATTGAGGCGCATACTTGCGCAATTGTTAGGCGCTCGGATCTCGGAACATTGGCAGATGCCGATGTGTTGTCGACCAGCGTTGAGTGCCAGAAGTGTTGCTACCATCACCTCGGCAGGGAGGCCAACGAACTGGTCGAGCTTTGCTCACCTCGCGGCTTCGACCAAGAGGTAGGTCCTCAAGGCAGCGGCGCAGGTCGAGACCTCTCGTAGGGTGCACTTTGCATTGTGGCTATGCCTGCGAAAATTGAAAAGACTGCAACTCCGGTGCATGTGCTGCCACGCGCAGACAGAGGGAAGGCAGACGGGGCCACAGCAAGTGCGCAGAGCCCCATCACCGTAGCCTGAGGCGCGGCATCCGCGACGGCAGCGGCAGCACCAGCTGCCTCTACAATTGCCATCTTGGAGCAGGACCGCAGGTCGAAACAATGCCGGCAGAGGCAGCAGAAGCAAAACGCAGACATGTAATGAAGCCTTCTAAGCTTGGATGTTGTCGGCAGCGAATTACAGGGAGAGCTGCAATTGCGGCACAGCTGCTGCTTCCGTATAGGCTCTCGAGTCGCCCGCGGCTGATCGTAGCGAAATATGGCCGTACACTTTTGCTTCCGCGAACAGCCCTAACACTTCAAACGCTGTACCAATCGCAATGAATGCGTGCAAGACGCATCTCCTTTTTACATCAATCCTTTTCCCCGTATCTCTTGGCCCACACACTCTTGCGTGTCAAGAGCCATTCGCGATTGTCAGAGTACGTCGCTGTAGCTGAAGGTTAGGCTGGTAATTTCCACCTTGTCGGCCTTGACGACTTGAGCTTAAACGGCATGGTAGGGAGAACGATAAGCTGAAGCGACTGTAAAGAAGCAGTTTCCGAACTGTCCCTCGGGCGATCTCGGCCATGACGAGGAGCTGGCTCAGAGTCGTCGCCAGCTTCAGGCTTTGCAGCTGCAGCGGGAGGCTGGTTCCTTTCCCAAGGGCCGCCTGAAATCACATTGCGCGACTCACAGCTACCTCTCGACTTTTTTTAATTGCCCAAGCTTCCAACTACTAAAAGGGCGACGTTTGCCTCGGTTTGAGCCCATGCAGAACCTCCCCTGGGGTCTTGTCCTTCCAGGCCGAGCACAGGGCCGCAGAGGCGCGAAATGCAGAGCTGCTCGCCGAGCTCGAGGCAGGGCTGACGGGGTTGCCGACGACCCGGACGACCACAACAAGACGACCACGACCACCGAACGACACACTCGACCGCTCAGAGGCCACCACCGAAACTTCCAGGAAGGCCATTAGGACAACAGCACACCCACGGCGAAACTGCTTCCGCCAAGTACTCGCAGAGCACGCCCAGCATGCTTTCCATCTGCTGGCAGGATTCATTGCACGGTGCAATATACCTGTATAACACCAGGACGTAGGACAAAATATGCAACGCGCCACAGCGTGAGCCTGGTTTCGGGGAACGTTTTTCTGCACCTCGCCCCCACGCTAGCCAATTATCTTTACACTTCACTTTTGAACCTCACAGTACGTACCGCATTTTTTCGGAGGGAGTCCGTTTTGCAATCCTTCCCCCGTACGCGTCAACTGTCTTAACTTGACCCGAGCCCTCTCAGGAGCTGCGGCCTCTCAGGGCGCTCCATGCGAAGCTAAGCCGCGACGAGGAGCCTTGCACGGGGAGCTAGAACAATGGCAGAAATAGCGCCGTAGTAGCCGTAGTATATTACGGCTATACAGTTATACTATTCCGGTTATACTTTTTCTTGTGAAACTAGCTACGTTGTTACTGCACAAAGCTGTGCTGCATTGGCTGTGCCTTATCATGTTTCCCAGCATTAAATTACTGCATCACATAATGTCTTGCCTTGCGAGTATTGAATATGTCACCATGGTGCTTGAGCTCGTCGGTGGCTTACGGGATCGTAAACCCCTCTTTCGTAGCCGCCACTCTTATCCTTCGCAAGGCAGTGATTGCTCCTTGAATTTGAGCTTTCGCAACAGTTCCCCAAATGCCATCAACGCTTCGGTGAGTAAATACGTTAGAGTTCTTGATGAGAAGAACTTCGGCATTAAAGTCTAATTATTTCTGCTCTTTGAACCCAACCTGTGCCATAGAAACCCGAGATGCTTGCAGCCCTCAAGCAGCCCTGCTCCCGGCAAAGAGTTCGCACACCTTGCACGAGGATGGCATGCAAACTAGCCTGCACCACCCAGATCTCCCGAGCTTCGGAATTGGCCTGCAGGCTCTGCCACAACCACGAGCTCCCACGTCACCGACAGACTCCGTAGGCCTTGGGCGGATCTCGAAACCTTTTCGGACTTCATGGAGGAAAGAGCTAAATACTGCTGCTCTAGGCACCTATCTATCTATTTATCTATCTCTCTGTCTCTCTCTCTCTCTCTCTCTCTCTCTCTATATATATATGTGACATGTACATACTCTGCCCGTTGTTCTCGGAGGTAACGGAAAGCTACTTGATTGCGCTGACGCTTGTCTCGGCCCTCTCATTAAGAAAATGTCACAAATGAAAAGTTCTACCACGTTCGACCTGCGGCGCCGGAGGCTCCATGACCCGAGCAGAGGTGGACGAGCTTGTCCGGACCAGGCAAGCAGCCAGCACACATGTGAGTGCTTCAGTTTTTGCTGCGGGCTGTTTGTCACAGGCCGCGAGTTTTCATTGTTTCGGGAAGTCTTAGGTGAGCCGCAAGATATACAGCCTTGTCGGCACCATTCAGCACCAAATGGTGGAGCATTCAAGCGAAGAGAAGAAGCATCGAAGAGCATCCCATCTCATCTCAGGCAGCCGACTTCAACAGTCCCCACAAATTCAAATGCAGTTTGAATGAGGGAGCGCTACACCACAAGCACAGTAACAGGGCATTCGGCCCCCCTTCCTTAGCGAAATTCCCTTCCTTAGCGACCTTGGCGCAATGGCGCAGCTTACATGGTCCTACTGGGGGCTTCAGCCGCGGCGGTGTGTCTTGCACCAAGAAAAGACTCTGGTGGTCCAGGCACGGGCCAGTGCATGCTGTATGAGATGCTCACACTATACTCAGATACTCTTGAATGTTGTTCCCGATCGCCGCGTGGAAGCTCGTTTCTCCCGTTGCAAGGCCTACCAGAACTTCCCGTGCACGCCTGTACACAACGAGCAGCGGCGTGGGGCTTTCTGTCTGTACAAGGCAGGGCTTCGTGCAGATCTTGGAGTGATGAAAACAACAAACTAGGATCAACATCGGCAAAAGAAAGAGATAAATAAACCCATGCCTTGGACCTGCACCAACAAAAGGACAATAACAAAGGGTGAGCAAAAGACGAAGGCATACCGAAGAGCTACGTAGTACAACTACAACTACACGTTTGGCGTTGTTGCCAGTTTCACTTTGTGGAGCATCACAAAATTACCACCGTGACGCCGTCGTTAAAGTCTCGCTCTGAGCAGTCTGACCATTCTTCCGGTGAGTGTTGTTGTTATGATCTTGCTATCTTCACTGTTGTGGCTTTCAAGCAGCCAATCACTAGGAATGAATCGGGTTGCGGTCTGCTTGCCGCCAGCTGCCTGGTATTTCAAGTTTACCGAACTGTTTGTAGCCACCACTCTGTAACATGGGGTGCAAGCAAGCAGCGTAAAATTGTGCCTGCGCGGGCACTGAGATGTATGCACAAGACAGCTGTTGACGGACATGTCACTTCTCGGCATGTTCTACGAGGCCATGCTGCCAGACCTCTCAGCGGCCCGCCCAGCTAAACCAGTGATGCACCTGTAAGTAGTTGATTCTTGGGGATGTTGTTTCATGATGTATTGCCGTGCTACCTCACGTGCGTCTGGTGGAGTAGGACTGTCTCACGTCACATCCAGCTTGTCCCGCTTTGGAGTGGCAGATCTCCGACTGCACTCTTTCGTGGGGCACTGATGCTTGCTGCTCCCCAAAGTTTAACCATAAGGCCAACCAGTCAGAGACGACTTGGCGATTTAAACTCGTGGTGTCACTTGTCATGTGCCATGTTTCACAAGTGTGCGAAACGACCGAAGGCAAGTGCAAGGATTCCAACTCCGAACAGCAAGTCGCCAAATGCAAACCAAGCAGTTAGACAACCCAAGCTCGGAAGCAAAACTTCCTCATGTCCGCCCCAGCTTGTGTGTGGTGCAAGGGCTCGGCCCTGGGTGTTGTGGCCAGCACGATGATGGCACGGCGCTGTAGAACGCTGCGTGCCCCGGTGCAGGAGGGCTCCTGGGATTTCAGTGTTTTCGGGAACCGAGAGCCAGAAGCGAACCCGAGCAATGAGGGGATGGACAACTGTCTGATGAAGTTTGTGCGCGCTGGAAGCTTAGAGCTGGGCTTCGGCCTCGGACATTTTGGAGCAGACACGCATGGACGGAGCCACACACTTGGCTGCAGTGAGGTGCGAAGACTGACTGCCGTGCGACGACAGCCCCTGTGGACGCCTTGCGAATTTGAGGGGATTCGAACATCATGGCGAAGATTACTACTACCAGTAGCAGGGCTTATCGTTGTCGAAGTGGTTAGTGGTGGTGGGGTGGTGGAGTGGTGGGGTGGTGGGGTGGTGGCGGTAGTGGTGGTGGTGGTGGTAAGTATAGCAGTGGTGCTGGCGATTATGATGCTTGTTGCAGGTGCGGCAGTGGTGGTGACCTGGTGGTGGTGGTGCTGGTGCTGGTGCTGGTGCTGGTGCTGGCGCTGGCGCTGGCGCTGGCGCTGGCGCTGGCGCTGGCGCTGGCGCTGGCGCTGGCGCCGGTACTGGTGGTAGTTCGCGCGCGTTGTCGTCGTCGTGGGTACTAGAAGTACCAGTGGAACCACTACTTCCCTTGGTGCGATTCAGAAAAGAAGTGCTGGTGTTGTTAGAGCTACATAGCTCCACACTATGGCAATGTGTTCTTCCTAACCAGGAGGGTTATACCGCTTGAAACCGAACTTATGAGCAGCCTCTGCGCCAGAGAGATACAAGCCCATGTCGAGCTGTAGCGAGGAGATTCTTCCCATTCCAGGAAAAGGATTTGGCGCGATCGCGACAAGGGACATTGCCAGGCCGGACGGATCTACAAGGTAAGCTCCCCTAGATGACATGGACATCGGTTGTGATCGCGGGGTTATCTGGTCTTTGGTCGTCGGGTTTGAAGATTGGAAACGAGATTCTGCGCTCGGGTCCCCTGCTTTATATTACGGAAACTACTCGCATGCACCTGTCTCTCCAGTCTCCGCGGTTCTACCCCCCAGCGGCAAACCCTGCACCTGAAGCCTGCAGTAGATGGGAATCATGGGAGGGCATCTTCAATTGCATGGCAGATGCAAGGAGGGGGGCTTGTCTTCATAAGAGGGTGGTACGTCCCGTAGCAGGCAACAGCATGCCGCAAATTGCAGCTGCCTGTCTTGTCTCTAAATGCCAGGGGTGACTTGGTCCTGGAGGAGCGGCCGCATCCTGGCAACAAAAACAGGGAGGGGCCTTACATTGGATGAAAAAATAACATACAGATCCAGATAACACAACATCAACATGTAGACAGCCCCGGCTGGGTATGGCCTCTGGACCATGCGTGTTGTTTCCCAATGTCTGCATTCTAAGTTAAGCGATGTTGGAACAACACCTAAGATAAGAGGGAGGGAAAGCACTCACGGGGCTGATGCTGCCAGAGATGCGTGCCAATTCTGTGTCAAGTTTCGCAAAGATATTACATGAGCTCATCGGTCTCATTGTCTCAGTGTTGATTGGCTGTGTTCCCTGATTCGTCTATTCCACTACTGAATGGGTCGAAGGGGAATCCAGCTGCATTGAACCGAGGACCATAACATATCAAGCTGGAAGCGATTGGCCAACATCCTTGCAGCAGCAGTTCGTGGCCTGGCCAAAGTGTAGACGGGTGAAGTCTGTTGCCTCGGAAAAGGAAAAGTGCCAGGATTTTGGGCATGCTGTCCGTCCTTGGAACCTTACCAGGGAGTGTGGTTTTGCTTTTGTGCCCCACCCACGCCCCCGACTTAGAACGTGATTGGCTAAAGAGCTCGGATCGGATCTTCGCTGGCGACGTGCCGTTTTCAATCTAATGATGTTCTCAGCCGTCCAAGCTCGAGAACCAGCATCACGTTGCAGGCACTCAGTTCATTTCTTGCCGTTTTTCGGGTACTGTACCACTGACGAGGCCGGGCTGAATTCTGCGTGCCCAGCTTTTGCCACGAGCAATACACATTCGTGGTCATGCTCGTCGTGGTTGTGGAGGTCCCCATCATCGCTACCATCGTGGCAGCAACAGAGCAGTAGTGGCAATGGTCACAATGACAATCTTGGTGATGATTGGTAGAAGGCATGGTAGTACTGTAGCAATGACCAGTTTAGTAAACGTTACCCCAGCAATACCCAGCAGTATGAGACCAGAGGAATATGCACAATCATGATGTTGCGACATCATTCTTCGACACAATACTCTTGTGTCATCACGCAAGGACAAGCTGCCGGTCGAATCGCAATCGGCGATCATGGACCTCTGCGATGCACCGTGGCTTGGGGCTGATTTTCGGGCTCTGCGCAGGATACGGGAGTGATGTTGACAAGGTTTGGGATAAGTACAAGTACGTCGGACACCGGAATGCTTTTGCGGCTTGCCTGCAACTTCAGGCAAAGCCGAGTCATGCGTCCCGGGAGCTGTATGAGATGGAGGGCTGGAATACCCCATTCTTCATGCGAACCGGATGCGAGTGGAATCTTGAGAGAACGACTGTGATCCGGTCTTGCCTTGCTGGTTGCGAGATCGACCCTCAGATAAACCCGGAAGAGTCAAGAACCCTTGAAAAGACATCTCCAGCCCGCGTCGATTCCCTCGTCAAGCCTAGAGAGACTCAGATCCGTTTGTGCTCCCCGCCTCCACCCCCCACCATACCCCCCACCGTACCTTTGCCCCAGAAATGTACCACGAAGGCGGGCTCAATTTCTTTACTTGGGCGTGGCTCCGTTTGCCGGGACGGGCCACCACGCGTTCCCAACTCGAGCGTCATGACGTCATGAGCATCAGATGCGCTGGTTCTTGCCAGGGTTGGGCGACCACAGCACACCAATCATGAGCATCAGCGACACTATGACGGGCCACCAGGCCTTTCCAGCGCAAGCATCATGAGCATCAGCTGCGTTGATTCTTGCCAGGGTTGGGCGACCACAGCACGCCAACCCGAGCATCAT